GCAAGTAGGTCTTTATCTTGGAGACAGTGGAAGAGCTATAATATAATTCAGAGGGACGTAATATGACCAGATTTGGATTTTAGAACAATCAATAATAGCAGTAAAAGAAGGGATTAAATGAAGGCCTAGTTAGAAGGCTGCTCAAATGATGTATGTGAGACACGATGATCTATTTGGCAGTTGTGATAGAGACAGAGGAACAGATGACAGATTTACAAAGGAAGAAGCATAGAAAAAGAAGAGGTAAAGGAAAAGTAACATTCCCCTTTCCTTTACCTTATTTTAGTGAAACACTCTAAGATTTTTGGATGGGCTACTTCATGGAAAATGATCTCATTCTCTGACACAGAACAGGAGAGGGGAACAAATTTTGGAGGGAAAATGGTAAGCTGGAGGATATTGTTTTGAGGAGTGCATAGGATATGTCCAATAAGGAACTTTATATCTGAGTCTGAGTATGTATTTGAAAGTATAAAATTCAAAGAATTAAGTTACCTTATGAATATGAAACATCGATTATGAAAACCAGGATGGGGGCCCCTGGGTGGCTCAGCGGGTTAAAGCCTCTGTCTTCAGCTCAGGTCATGATCTCGGGGTCCTGGGATCAAGCCCCACATCAGGCTTTCTGCTCAGCGGGGAGCCTGCTTCCCCCTCTCTCTGCCTGCCTCTCTGCCTACTTGTGATCTCTGTCAAATAAATAAATTAAATCTTTAAAAAAGAAAGAAAAGAAAACCAGGATGGTGGGGGATAAGAAAATATAACTCCAAAAAAAAAAAAAAAAGAAAGAAAACTCTAAAATGTACTTAAGGAAAGTAAAGGAATTGGAAAGTATGTATAAGATATAAACTTAAGCAATGTGCAACACAAAACTAAGAATTAAGAAAATGGAGGATGTTAAAAACTCAAAACTCAATTGTTACCACGAACAAATCTATTTTCTACAAATGTTTCTCATGAAATGAGAGTACTCTTTTTGTTGTTGTTGTTTGAAAGAAATGTGACATTTTGAGCTAAAGAGTCTGCTGGAAATTTTAGTTGTTTAATAAAATACGTAACTGGACACCCCAGCCTTCCAAGAATTAAATAAAACAAAAAGCCTGCTCCAGATATAGAAAGGACATAGTTTACTACAGGCACTTGGTACAGGGACACAGGAAATACGGTGTAAGCATTTATTTCTCCATTAAAAAAAAAAAAAAGCATCTAAGGACAGTAGGAAAAATTTGTCTCCACATGGAGACATGCATCATCATGTGTCCAAACTAAATGTGTTAATCTATAGTACTGGTAGATTCTTTTTCCTTCACTAAACAAAGATCTAGCACAGAATAATGTATTATTTGTAGCAACTGCCCCATCTCTGAAATCACAAGCTTAAAAACACTGCCTACAATGGAAACATAGGTGCTCTAGACCACAGTTCCCATAAACATACATAGTAAGCACATAAACCATGATTCCCACAATTTACAAAAACTTTATAGAAATAAATCTGTAATTTAACTGCATCCAATGTATTTTTTGTGGATTTATATTTAGGGCAAAGAGGCTATGTATCCCATACAACACGTACATATTTCTCACTTGCCAATTAGCATGAACACTCAGATCCACACATACACACACAAACATATAGAAAACTGAGAAGGGCTTTCTTGAAAGTGCTGAACTTCTGTAGACTGGTGGCATTCTCCAAGAGTTCACATAAAAAGTAGGATGGATATATTGTAAGCATAACTTTAGAACAACCAAGTGAAAATGATATCAAATCCACTTTGGGATATAAAATAATGTAATTCATATGTAATTGACATCTTATCCTCCAGCTTTTGAATCCGTGGGTATTATTTATGTTCTTGTCATGTACCACAGAATAAGTTTTTGTGAATTTTTCCCCCAAAAAATCTACTTACAGAAAAAGTATGGAGATTCTGAAGAAGTGAGATAGCTCCAGGTGGGTCAGGGCTCCTAATGATTTTATATACTTGAACTAAAATTTGCATATAAAGTAGGAACAATACATTCATTAAGTTTAAATGTCCCCCCCTTTTTTGGTATAAGTAAATACAGAGAATACATTGGCTCAACCTTCTGTCAAGAAACAGAACAGAGCTACTTGTAGAAATACTGCCTCCTAGTGGAAAGATCACTTTTTAAATTTGTTTTATAAAGCACGGGAATATAGCATATTCACTATGTCACTAGTGACATAGTGTCACTATGTCACTAATGGCATAGTCACTATGCCATTATTCACAATTTAAAGTTACAATTCAATTTCAGCTTGATACTTAGTACCTCCAAAAGAATGTCATGAACTCTCATCTGATTTACAAACTTAATTCCTCTTCTTAATAAAATGACAACCAATACTTCCTATGTGCAATTAGTAGTAGTGCTTAGAGTGAAAACAAAACTTACTAAAAATAAAAATTATCATTGTGGCTGTACCCTCAAAGTCCCAGAAACCTATATATAAATGCTTGAGAGTGACAGAGATCTTATAGAGTTAATAAGATATGATTATTTAACAACCTATTCATTCTGTTTCTGAGTTACTGAATCAAGATTTTTTTACTCAGTAAAACAGCAAGGAGACTTTTCGTTAAATACTCTGAAGCAGATAATCTAAAATCACAGATAATCAAACAATTTTTATTTGGTTTTAGAATATTTTGGTACATAAAGTGAAATACAGCCACCTAATACTTTTTTTTAAAGATTTTATTTATTTGAGAGAAAGAGAGAGCACACATGCAAGTCAGTGGGGGGCAGTGCAGAGGGAGAAGACGACTCCCTGTTGAAGAGGGAGCCCAACACAAGGCTCAATCTCAGGACCCTGGGGATCATGACCTGAGCAGAAGGCAGACACTTAACTGACTGAGCCACCCAGGCGCCCCAGCCACCTAATACTCTTGTAAATTTGTAAACTTCAAACAAAATAATACACAGTGAAGAATTGGAAAATTATCATACTTTGTAAATGTGTGAAATTATTCTTTATCTTTACAATTATCATTAAACACAAAAGTTTTTTGCATGAGTTTGAAATTATTGTCCTATGCTTTTTGTTTAATGCCTTCCATCAACTGGAAGAAATGAGGTATTTTATTTAAATTTTACACTGAGTTACGAGTTGCATAGAAGAATTCAACTAAACAAGGTATCAGGTTGTGAAACTTTACAACATAAATCACAGTATTGAAATTGCTGGTTTATTGACTGCCACCTTTCACTAGATATTAAACATCTGAAAGATAACAACTGGATTTTTTTTTAACCTACCCTAGTATCTCAACAGAATTTTGGTTGAATGGATATTAATAAAAAGTTGAAAATAAAAATCAACTTAGATATCTTTGATTAACTGTAAAATCTGAAATGAGATTTTAAGTCACAAGATGTGGGTCAAATCTTATTTTACCACAAATTATATGATTTTAAGCTCCACCTCAATGAGACTCAGTTTTCTCATCTGAATAAAGAGAGTAACAACTGACCTATGTATTTCAGAGTAGCTACAAAGGTAAAATGAGGTAATGTATGTAAAAGTCCTTTGTAAATACCTAACAAATGTAATTTTCCATTATGCTACTGCATGTACAGTTAGGAACAAGTGTATAAAATAAGAAAAAATTTTAAGATGCACTATAACTACTTATATTAAAAATACATGTCATATATTACATGTCACACCATTTTCTCCCAAGTGAAAACAGCTTGACTTCTCTCTTCAGCCTACAAATATACTTACAAGTACTGGTCGAAAAAGAAAGAAAAAAAATACCCCTTCCTTCGAGACACAGTTCCCAGTGCTTTATTTTCTCTGCTAAATACTATCAAAGAAGAGTGGACATCTATACATATTCCTCTTCAATGCACTGAAATCGGACTCTGCCACCATTGCTTGTAGAACAGCTTTGATATGGTTAATGCACTGGTTTCCTTATCATTCCACATTTTATTCTATCTCTGAAAATTTCTTGTACCTTGTATCTCTGGAAATTCCAAGTACCTCTCACATTCATACTGGCTTCTTTATTCAAAATAAGTATACTCTGCTTTTTTCCCCTTATTTCTGATGATTCATCTTTTTTTTTTTTTAAACTTGTTCAGCTTCTTATTCTTCAAATGTACGTGTTGTATGAGGTTTCACCCTTGAACCTCCTTTTTTCTCACCATGTAGTTCTGCCTAGATGATTCAGCCTACTCTGGCAAACTTGGGCCTCATCTCTGCACAGCCAGCTTCTAAATCTGTATCTTTCTACCAGCTCCCAGCAAGATGTGACATCTGTATTTCTAGTCATTGACCAAATATATCCACTGGATATACTTCAGTCCACATGTCAAACTCACTGTTCTCCCTTTTCCCAAACATCTTCCTTCCCTTTGTTGCTGTTCTTGATAGACAACCAAGCAGAAAGCTTAGAGTCATCAATGATTTCTGCACTCCTTCTTAGCTGTCATCTTCGTTATCTGTTAAGAGGATCTACTGGCTCTATGTCTGATCCATCTTAATTTCCACTGCCTTCATTGTCTCTTTTTAAAAATATTTTGCCTCTTAAATAAGTCTTTCTGCTTTGGTCTCTCACAATTTAAATCCATCCTGTTACAAATGATGTGAAAGAAATAAAAACACTACCCTGTTACAAATGTTACCCTGTTATAAATGATGCTAAGGAAATAAAAACACTGCCCTGTTTTTTGTGTTTATTCTTTACCTGGAAAATCAACCCTACACTCTTTGACATGGCATTTGAGACTAATCTCTTTCCAACCTGTTTTTCTAGTAACTTCTGCCTACACCCTTCTCTCTCTAGAACATGGTTTACACTTTCAATTTCATAGCCCTAGTTCATGGTATTCCCTCTACCTGTTATGGCTGTTCTTCATTTGTAAAAAGCCTGTACATCTTTTGGACCCATGTGATACATCATCTTCTCTATGGCACTTTCCATAACCTTCCTTCTTCTGTACTCTTCTGCTGCTATCAAAATTAAATTTAAGTATTATAAGTGTTTATCTCCTTCACTGCATTAGACTAAAGGCGAAAAGGTCTAACTCACTTTGATTCAGATATTCTTCACACAATGCCTGACAAATAGGGTATACCCAGTAAATACTGAACTGAACAGTCCCATTACTGATTTATATAACAAACAGAACAAACCTAAAGAATAATCTTCAACTAGATTTTGCTAGAATCAAATGAAACTCATTTGGCTTTGGATTAATACTGAAAATATACCTAAAGATGAATTATCCATTGTAATCCTCTCGGTTTTAAGTAAATCAAACAGCTAAATTTCTCTCTTGTAGTCAGTTTAGAAGGAAGCAGGAAACAGTTGCATAAAAATCCAGTCAAGTATCTGTAAAAATACACAGAAAACAAATGTAAGACCCTTACTAGTGCTATTACAATATCAAGGTAAGGATCATTAGGCCTGCTAAAGTCTTTTGTATATTAAAGAGTTAAAGATATCGTGAAGCTTAAAAATAACATTAATTCAGTTAAGAGTAAAGTTAAAGAAAAGTAGATATATGCTAAAGGGTCAGCACTAACTCACTGTCATGAAATATTTTTGTATAACTCTAAAAAAAATCTGAAATAAATACTAATTTAATGAAATTATACTCAGTCTTACTCTATGACTATAGATCATGTATCAGCAAATTATAGCCTGCCTGTAGGCCAACCTGCCTGGCCCCACATCTGTTTTTTAAAAATAAAGTTTTACTGAAATACAGTCATACTCATTTTGTGTTGTTACTGTCTGCTTTTGCTCTACAATGGCAAAGCTAAGTAGTTGAGACGGAGACTGTATGTACCACAAAGCCTAAAAATATTTGCTATCTAAACTTTAAAGAAAATTGGCCAACCCCTGCTACAGATAATCAGTTGCAAATCTAGTTGAAAACCACACCAGTTTGGATATGTGAGGACTTTTTATTATTCTAGAATTTAGAATCTTTATGCAAAGATTTCTTCTCAAAAATCAAAAGAATAAAAAATAAAGTTTTAAAGATGCTATGATAGGAAATATACTGATGTCAAGTACATAGGAGATAAATGGTATACACACAGGATTTTTTAAATAAATTATTTTATTTGTATATTTATATGCTGGCCTGTTTACTTAAGTAGGAAAAGGAGTGGCTATTCTTTATATTAGAGCATGTCTCTAAAAATTAACTCTTCTACCTCTACTGCCTCACTAAAAATAGAAAATTAATTCTTCCTACAAGAATAAAGGGACAAAGTTAAATATAATTAATTATTTTTTTAAATGAGGGGAGGGAAAGCTGAAAAGAGGAGAAAGAAAAGAGGTAAAGGGAGAGGAAGAACCCGCTGTACCTCATTCTTTAATTGATATGAAGCCAATCTGTGTACCAAAATTAAGGCCATCTCGGACATGGGAGAAAAACTTGTCAGGATGGCAGGACGTACAGAGGTCAAGATCTTGGTTCAGGTCTTGAATATTCTGTGGTAGAATTCCGCCCCGTTCTAGAAGAATCCTTAGGATAAAGATTTTTCAAAGATACCAAGAGTTTATTTTACCTAGCCAAAGCAGTAAAAAATACATACATATGAATATTGGTGTAAAAGAATTCTGGGAAAGATTTGCTTGGAACAATGAAAATTGGTTTTCAGATACAAAACATGAACAAGTCAGGAATTTGGAAGATTTTATCACCATTAATCACTTAAGTTTACATACAAACTGTAAAACTTTCTATATTGTCCTGCAGACATGACCTGGGTCCAGAATTTTATAATCAAAATCAAGTACTTATTTAGAAGAAACATCTAAAGTTACAAGGATATTTGCAGACAAGATTCATCTGATTCAGACAGAGATGCTTTTTAGTCATTTGGCCCTCCCACCTCTTGTCCTCCTATTAACAGATTTTCACAGAGAAATTGCTTCTCCGTAAATACTTTACAATATGAAATATGAATATTAATTAGTGATATTAATTCCACAAGTCACATTTAACAATCAATTTCAATCTTTTCTATATGCTAAGTGAGGCAGAATCTGGGCAACGTTTTGTTGACTAGAATAGAAACGCAATTAAAATCAGACAATGTTCTTTTTTAGAAATAACAAATAATGGCTGCTAATAGCAAAACTTTGTAATTCAAAATTGAAAGGGACCATAGAAAGCTTGAGAGTGACTATGTGCTTATATTATCTAACATTCTTGCTAAGAAATATATTCCTCTAGCTAGAGAATAAAAATAATTTTAAAATATCATCTTCCTGATAGTTTATTACATTATAGATTTCAGCTGAGGAAAGACTATGAAGCACATGTCAACTTTCTATACGAAGTTTAAGTACATCTCTCAAAACTATAAATCGAATAATAGCTTCCTGCACTTTTAAGTCAATAAGAGATAACAGAAAAATTTCTGTTAGTCAAACTTAAATGAGAATAGATTTCATAATCAAAATATGTTTTGTATAAAATATGTATGTCAGCTAGTTATCTGCCACCTCAATTTTTCTTGGAGTTACTAATTGTTGTCTAAAATGATTTTCACTTTAGAAACAATAAGCAATAACCAAACTTGCAGTTTTGGAATGAAATCAAACATACCTGGTGGCTTTACGAATGTCAACATAGGGATTTGGTGAATCAAATAACCGTACACATTCAGGATCAAGATTATGAAATTCCTTTGCAGATTCCCTTGGCAGAGTAAAACAGCAAGGTCCTACTGAAGGTCCCAGTACAACAATAATGTCTTCCAAATTACACCCATATTCTGTGATCATAGCATTCACTGTAGCCATAGCAACACCTAGCAAAGTACCCCTCCAACCTGGTAAATAGGAAGAAAAAGAGACAAGGGAAGTTAAAACATAGCATTTCACCTTAATTTATCTCTAACTTAAAAATGAGCAGAGTTAGTCTACGTATTTTTCAAAGTCCAGAAATAGCAATGAATCACAAGATCAATTAATTAAGCTAAATAACCAATTAACAAAAACACCGGTTTTTATTTTTCTTATTTTTTTTAAAGATTTTATTTATTTATTCATTTGAGAGAGAGAGAGCAAGAGAGAGCAGAGTGGAGAGGAGAGGGAGAAGCAGAACCTTGGGATCATGATCTGAGCCTAAGGCAGACATTTAACTGACTGAGCCACCCAGACACCCCTAAAACACTGGTTTTTAAATGAGGTACATGGGTGCCTGTGTGGCTCAGTGGTTAAGCCGCTGCCTTCGGCTCAGGTCATGATCTCAGGGTCCTGGGATGGAGTCCCGCATCGGGCTCTCTGCTCAGCGGGGAGCCTGCTTCCCTCTCTCTCTCTGCCTGCCTCTCTGCCTACTTGTGATCTCTTTCTGTCAAAAAATAAATAAAATCTTAAAAAAAAAAAAAGATTTAAAAAAAAAATTTATTAAATGAGGTACACTATACAAACCACCTGACATGGGAGAGATATGTAATGGGAGGTCCCTTCCACTTCCTTTAAAAATATTCTATACTTTCAGTTTCCAGTGGGATTATACCTTATAAGTCTTCTCTCTCTCCTTCACTTTTTTTAGACACTTTTTTTAAACTTGGGGGGAGGAAATATACATATCATTAAATTTACCATTTTAACTCCTTTTAAGTGTATACTTAAGTAGTGTTAAATATATTCACATTTTTGTGCAACCAAGTTCTAGAACTTTTTCATCTTGCAAAACTGAAACTCAATGCCCATTAAATAACAATTCCCCGTCACCACTTTGCCCCAGCCCATGGTACCCACCATTCCACTGTGTCTATGAATTTGACTACTTTAGATACCTCATATAAGTGGAATCTTACAGTGCCTCTTGTGACTGACTTCCTACATTTAACATAATGTCCTCAAGGTCCTCATTCAGGTGTAAGGATTTCCTTCCTTTCTAATGCTAAATAATATTCCACTGTATGCATTTATCACATTTTGCCTATCTATTCATCCATCTATGGAAACTTGTATTGCTTCCACGTCTTTGCTATTATGGATAATTCTGCTATAAGCACAGGTATGCTTTAGTTCTTTTGGATATATACCCAGAAGTAGAACTGCTGGATCATATGGTAATTCTATTTTAAAATTTTTGAGGAACCACCATACTATTTTTTATAGCAGCTGCACCATTTTACATTCCCACCAATTGGTGCATCAGAGTTCTAATTCCTCCACATCTTCACCATTTGCTATTTCTTTTTATTTCTTTTTTTAATATTAGCTATCCTAATGGGTGTTAGGTGATATCTCATTATAGTTGTGATGTGCATTTCCCTAATTATTAGTGACATTAAGCATCTTTTCATCACTTGCTTGTTGGCCATTTGTTTATCATGTTTGGAAAAATGTCTCTTCAAGCCCTTTGCCCATTTTTAACTGGGTTATTGATTTTTTTTGTTGAGTTCTAGATTCTTTATATATTCTGGACATTAACCCCTTATCAGATATACAAATTGCAAATATTATCTCCCATTCCATGGGCTGCCTTTTAACTTTGTTGTCTGTGTCCTTTGATGCAGTTTATTAGTTTTGATGAATTTCAATTTATCTGTCTTTACTCTTGTTTCTTGTGCTTTTGGTTTCACATCTATGAAACCATTGCCTAAACCAAGTTTCTGAGGATTTACATTTTCTTTAATAAGTTTTATAGATTTAGCTCTTACATTTAGGTCTTTAACCTGTTTTGAGTTAATTTTTATATATGATGTAAGATAAAGATCTAACATCATTCTTTTGAATGTAAATATCCACTTTTCTCAGTCCTATTTGTTGAAGAGACTGTCCTTTCCCCACTGTATAGTCCAGGTACCTTGTTAAAAATCTTTTGATCATATGTGCAAGGGTTTATTTCTGGGTTCTTTCTTTATATATTTTTATAACAAGTTTTGAAATCAGAAAATGCCAGACTTATAACTTTATTTAAGAGTGCTTCATTTTGACAGCTTTAGTATATGTGCTGCCGAAGCAAGCACTCATTTTCACAGCTTTAATCTTTGATATTTAAAAATAATGTTTCAAAACCTAAGAAGTAACAAATAAGATTCTCTTTTTATATCCAAAATCGAAGACTCAAATAACTTTTTGACAATGTCAAATCAAAAATGTGACTTCTAGTCATCCAATCCCATAACTTTAGCTAGATCAGAAGAAAAATATGCCACCTTCTTATTTTTTTGTCTAAAAAGCACAATAGTCAGATTTACAAGCAGAAACAAAGATCATCCCTCATTTCACAAAGTCGTGGCCACAGGATAATCTAAATAGCACTTTAAATACCTTCAGAAAACAAAATTCCATAATCTTAACACAACAACGAAAATCATTTGTTCTTAACTTTAGATAATATTTAAAGGCACTAGACTATAACATATTAAACTAAATGCAGTTTTCCAAACATATCTTGCTTCTTACCTCCATACCTTTACATATATGCTGCTGCACCTTCATCCTCATGAATACCTTTCTCCAACATACCTTATCTTCTCGGTCCCCATTGCCTAGACTTTAAAGGTTCTCAACAAGAGCCAGTACCACTTCCTCTGGAGTGTTCTGAAAAGCATGGAGGTGCTTTTTGCTGTTGTTGTTGTTATTACATCTGGGGTGCTACTGGCATTAGGAATTTTGAAAGCCAAGCAAACTACAATATAAGATTATCTTGCCCAAAATGTTAATAGCAACCCTGCTGAGAAACCCTGGCACCTAGTCAAGTCCTGCAAATTCCTCCAGAATCAGCCTGGGTACTGCTTCCTTTGGGAATTCTACTCTGATTCATGTAATTTGACTTAGGTACTGCTTTTATGTGTTCCTATAGTAAAAGTATGCTGGCTCTACTCCTATTTTATATTTAATACCTGTAAAGTAATTAACTGTCATGCCCACTAGAAAGAAATTATCACTTTTCCTATACTACAAAACTGGTAAAATCCTAAATGCTTAATTAAGTACACTTACCAGAGTGAGCAACACCACATGCTTTTCTGACAGGATCAGCAAAAACAACTGGTATACAGTCAGCACCAAGAGCTGCTATTGTGACTCCCCTCTGATTTGTGGTGATTCCATCATAAGATTCAGGTTCCTTCCTTCCCATAATCCAGACATCATTGGCATGATCAGTCTAATACCAAAGATGTGTGATAAAAATATTTTGAAAGTAGAATTTCTGATCCATAAGCTTTTTCTGAAAATACTCATTTTGTACAAAATTATATAACCAGTTTAATATTACTAGCAAGCATTAAAAACATCACTTCAATAGTAAAATACCAAATTTACTTGTCATTTAACTTTTGGTATTATAATCTCTATACATTTTATTCAAAGGAAAACAGACTTTAACACTTAACAATTTAATACAGTCCATCACAAACATCTCCTACTAGAGATGGGTAAATCTCTCCTTGCAGCAGTTTCCATAAAGTACTATTTATGGAAAGAAGTTAAATTAATTACCAAATTAAAGATATTCTTACTTTTCCTGACCCAAATAAAGCTAGAATTCTGTAACAAACAAGGTATCAATAGTGATCCTAGTTCCTCCTAATGTTAATTTAGAAAATAATGGCCTTTCTCTCCCACCATTCTGGAATCTTCTTTCTAAATCAAAAAAGGCAGTGGTACTATAAGAATTAACTGTACTTTTAGATACAAGAAGCTTCCTGTGAAATATATCTATGATGAACTGATTTTTAGATTATAGTGTATAGTTCCAAGAAAAACAACCATATCATTATCCTAAAATTTTAGATAAAACACCAGATGCAAAAGTTAAATAGCTTGTTTAAAATCCATGTAGTCATTAGCGCAGTCAAGAATATATTTTAGATCGTCTAAAACATGAAACAAAATTTTACCTTTATTCGGTAAAATTTCTCCACATTAAATCCTACAGCATTCCCCAACCGACGCAGATTTTCTTGAACAACGACCTTGGGATCTCTCCTTTTGGAACTACTGAAGAGATTGAATGAGCTAAGAGTTGGGATGTAGGATATTCCACCTGTTCTTGTAGTAAATCCGTGTAAGAAAATATCTGTTGAATAGAAGTAACGAAGAGTAAAAATATGCTATACAAAAGCCTATAAAAGGTTACAAACCCAGTGTCTCAGCAAGACTCTCCCTGATCACCTCAAGCTGCATGTTTTTCTAGCTTCCAATTTCTACAGCACTGTGTACCTCATGTGTTCTGTTATATATGGCTTTATGTTTGCTTTACCTTCCCCATGGGATTATTGCTCTTCAAAGAGTATCTTCTGTCCCATTTGTCTTTGTTATTCCTAACAGCATATAGCCCACAGTAAATATAATTTAACCAAGAAGTAAGACTCACATTTTAAAGTTTCATTCTTGAGGGCACCTGGGTGGCTCAGTGGGTTAAAGCCTCTGCCTTTGGCTCAGGTCATCATCCCAGGGTCCTGGGATCGAGCCCTGCATCGGGCTCTCTGCTCAGCAGGGAGCCTGCGTCCTCCCCCTACCCCCCGCCTCTCTGCCTGCTTCTCTGCCTACTTGTGATCTCTGTCAAATAAATGAATAAAATATTTTAAAAAAATAAATAAAATAAAATTTCATTCTTCTGTGAAGTTGCCAATGAGTTAAAGTAACAGAATTTCTAAATAGGAGATGCTTAGGGTCATAAATCTCATTTTAAAGGAAGGTTGGGGAATTTGTCTTAAAACTGAATTTGCATAAAGCAAATTTGTTAAGGGTGGCATTGAAGGGACTATCCCTTGGTATCTCTTGACATCCCTCACACTCCCATGTTGCAGCTGAGTTCAGTGAGATAATAAACCTTTGTCTATGAAAGAAAGGAGGGGGGAAAAGGTGAACAACCTCTAAAGAAAGACTAGTTTTTCATGTATACAACAGAAACAACACAGTGTTTAACATACCTGAGATTAAAGGAGATGTGATAATGGTTAACTCTCCTCTCAGTGCTGGCAGGCTTCTCAAATATGTTTGAATTTCATTCTGGATTGCTTCTACTTCTTCAGCTGTGATCATGTTTATTTCAGTGGATTGTTTCAAAGGATCTCCCCTCGAAGTCACCTGTAAGTCTTCAAACTCAAAACTGTAAACATCGGTGAAGAGCTGATCAATAAAAGTCTTCAGTAATGTCTTCCGGTGCATGGGTACAATTACTTTAATGCTGGTCAAATTTTTTTCATCAATTTTTTGCTTAATAGTATACAAAGAGGCAGCCATACTAGGATTGCTAACAGTCTCAAATCCTCTCAAGAGAGTTGATAATCCATTGCTTGCTTCTAATTCACAGTGATTATGCGCACCATCCCTTTCACAGCTGATGTTACTGCAACATATTATACAAAGAAACTTGGCCTTGGCAGCATGGTGGTATCTGACAGCATTCAATGTCTTCAGTAATGCCTGATGACTGTTTTTCTGAGAGTTAAATTTCAAACCAAAGAAATCAACCAACACTGCTTCTGCCATCCTTCAGGAGGGTACAAGGCCCTTCAAAGATTTCTGTGCCTCCTAAGAAATCACCTACAAAGAAAAATTAGCCTAAGAATGCAAAATTATATCAATCTTCTCATAGTTACAAATGTGTACCTACGTTTAAAAAAAAAAAGTTTTACCGATCTAAGAACATAAAAAAATAGTAGATCTAGATGACGCCAAGAAAAGCTAGTCCATTATTTGTCCTAAGAGAACCATGAACGTGGAACCATCTTTCAATTCGTTTTGTCAAAGTGATTTGTACATCTTTCCAGTAAAGCAACAGTTCCTGTGTGTATGTGTGTGTGTGTGATGTTTTTTCATACAGCAAATTTTAAGTAGGGAATTACTTAACTTAGACAAAGTCCTGCTTTTTAATTACAGGGTGTCAAATTATGGTATATGTGTATCATTAATCCTGACATGACTGACATGTTAGTTCACACCCCTTCATATGAAATATCGGGGCCTTCAATAGGTTAATGGAGCAGCATCTAAAATTTACGTTTTTAAGGGAATAAAAGCTGAAACGATTCTAGGATTTACACAGCACTCCAGGTGAGCGATTTGGAACAGACGTACTGCCCACCTGCTTCCTTACTCCGTACCTGGCCCCCGCCCCGCGCAGATCTCCCCTCCCAGCCCAGGAAGTCGGTTTCTCTTCAGGAGTCACCTTGGGTGGTGACCCCCGCGGCCCAGGGCGCTTTTCTCCTGCAGCCACTCCCAACCTCCACTCCGGACGGTACTGGGCTCCCACGGAAGTTCATCTCGCCAGGTTTGAAAAACACTGAGAGAAGCGAGGGGAGTGACAACCATCCTCCCTTCTGCCTTGGGAAATGCCACCAAAAGCATCTGTCCCCCTCCCGATCCCGTGCTGGGTCTCCACCAGCCCGGGCGCCTCCACCGCCTCCTCCCCGCCCCCTTGAGACTTTCTGACCCCACCGATGCCCAGCGCAGGCAGATTTCCCCGTCCCGCCTGTGGGCGCTCCGCCTAGGCTTGCACCCTCCGGCTTCTGCGAGCTCCGAGACGCCCGGGCGCCGCCACCCCCCACCCGGAGCCTGGACGGAACCCGGAAGCCACGACCGTGGCACCTGGAGTTCTAAGCCCGACCCGCGACCCCGCCGCTGCAGCGCCTGGGCCACCTCACCCACCTCACCGCCGACCCACCACGGGCGCCCCGCCAGACGTGGGCACGACGGCTGGGCCCCAGCGGCTGCAGAGGACCGCGCTGAGCCAGGCCGGCGACCTGCAGGGAGGCACGAGCGGAGAAGAGGGCTGGGTACAGAGAGGCGCCAGGGGAAAGCCAGAGAGGAGCCCAGCGCCGGCCCCCGCGGCCGCCTCAGCAGTTCCGGGTCAGCGCAGCCCGTCGAGACCGTCCTACGCCGCACGGTTGAGGCAAGAGAAACAGGAACCAGAGCCCTCTAGCCGGAGCCAGCCGGGTCAGCTGCCGGGGCTGGGGCCGCGGGCCGTGAGGGAAACTGGGCGGGAGGCAGGCCGTGACCGTTGCGTGGCGGCGGGCGGGCCCTTGACTGGGGAGGGACGTCGGGCGTGCAGGTGAAGGGAGCGGGGTCCTAGCAGGCTTGCGGGCCCCTTAGGGCAGCGGGACGGCTGAGAGGCTGGCGCGCGGGTGAAGGGAGCCGGGCGGCTGGCAGGTTTACAAGCCCCTCAAGAGAGCCCGGCGGCTACGAGGCTGCGGGGCGGGTGAGGGGAGCCTGACTGCCGGCACGTGGGCGGGTCCCTGGCAGGGGGGCGGGCCCATGAGGGGGGCGGGCTGTGGGCGGACCGGCGAGGGGACAGGGCCGCTGGCAGGCAAGCAGGCTGGTGCCGGGAGCAGGGCGGCGGCAAGGCGGGCGGGTTAGGGGAGGGGGACGTGCTGCCAGGCTGGCAGGCGGGCGAGGAGAGGGGGTCGGCAGGAAGGTAGACCATTAAGAGGGGCGAGGGGCTGGCTGGCTGGCGGGCCAGTGAGGGGGGCGGGCGGTGGGTCGGCCCGTGAGGGGCGGGGCGGCTGACAGGAGGGCAGGCTGGCGAATGGAGCATGCCGGCGGGAGGGCGGGCCAGGTGAGGGGGGCGGATTGGAGAGGTAAGTAGGACTGCTGGAAAGCTGCTGGGCGGGTGAGGGGAGCAAGGCAGCCCGAAGGCGGGTGGGCCGCCGAGGGGAGCAGCAGGCGGGCAAGGAGGGCGAGTCAGTGAGGGGGACCGGTGGGCCCGCGAGGGGAGAGGGGCGTCTGGAAGACTGGCGGGCGGGTGAGGGGAGCGGGGCCGCGGGAAGGCAGGCAGGCCCCTAAGGAGAGGCGGGGACCCGGGGAGCAAATGGCAGACTCCCTCCTGCGAATGGAAGCCCTCTCCCGAAGTCCGCTCCCCCAAACGCTCGAGGACAAGCCGTGTGGGTCAGACACTTGGTTTCATCACCGGAGCCCAACCCTGAGAACCAGCTTGTGTTAGCACTTGGAAATTTGCCCCATCCAGGGTTCAAGTAATCCGCCTCCTTGGGTGGAGTTTGTTTGTACTTCTTGCTGTTTTTTACACTGTGTGGCTTTTTTTTTGTTCCCAGAAACACTTGGTTGAACCTTCCTTTGCCTTTTTGCTGATTCCACCTTACTTGCTGACTGGACTGGACGAACACTCTTTACAGTTCCTCTATTTGCACTGACAAAGTCTTGTGTGGCCGTTTAAAAATACGTGCCGCTAGTAGAAAATTAGAAGGCAGTAACTCAGAATTGTAATAAATTAGCATCCCTTGTCTAACCTCAAAGAGTGGAACATCCATTTAGAAATATCGAACAGCTACTACATGGAGGGCAGATGCTAAGATAAAGGGAAAATCTGTCCCGCCTTCGAAGAGTAGGAGAAAGGGTGCTTCCTGTGGAACTGGTTATGATGGAAGGAGAGGTCCCTTTTGTCTTCCTTGTTGCTCAGACGATAACTGCTGAAGAAGTTTTACCTGAAAGAGTACAAGTCCTAGATATCTGGGAGTTTGGAAGAGCACTTGGAGGTGGGCAAGTGCTTCCATTCTATTTGACTAGGTGTTGGGATCACCAACCCAGAATAGGAACTTGCTGTTCAGTATCCCTAGCAGATGTTTTTGTCAAAATTTGTATTTTCATGATTTTTGTGGGGCATTCATTAAGAGCCTTCGGCCGATGGTACCCGTAATCAGAGGGTGCACTCTGTACTCTCTGAGTTTGTTGTTTTTTGTTTTTTTTTAAGATTTTATTTATTTGACAGACAGAAATCACAAGTGGCAGAGAGAGAGGAGGAAGCATGCTCCCCGCGGAGCAGAGAGCCTGATGTGGAGCTCAATCCCAGGACCCTGGGATCATGACCTGAGCCGAAGTCAGAGGCTTTAACCCACTGAGCCACCCAGGCGCCCCTCTGAGTTTGTTTTATGTTAAATATTACCTTAAGCAAAATAGAGATCTTTTGAGTTACAAAGCTGGTTTAAAACATTTATCCATGTTTTTACAATGATGGGAATTCATTTTCTTTCACTAAACAGTAGTGGCAGTAAAAAAATTTTTTTAAGTTTTTTTTTTAATTTATTTATTTGACAGAGATCACAAGTAGGCGGAGAGGCAGACAGAGGGAAGCAGGCTCCCTGCTGAGCAGGGACCCTGATGCGGGACTCCATCCCAAGACCCTGGGATCATGACCTCAGTGGAAGGCAGAGGTCTAACCCACTGAGCCATCCAGGCACCCAGCAGTAAAAAGTTTAAAACTATTTCAAAATAGGAAAGTTGCCAGGGAAGAGAGTTTGTCATTGTGATGTATTTACATAACATTTCTTTTCACCATTTGTTCCTAGGCTATCTAGCCTCATCACCTCTCTTACCTCGTCTTCATTCACCCCTTTCCAGTGGTTCTCCTGGCTGCACATCAGAACTACAAACAGAACTTAAAATAATCTAGGAATCCCATTCAATATACATTTGAATCAGAATCTCTAGGAGTCAAGTCTGGGCATGTTTTTCTTTGATGTTTATTTTGTTTTAATCTATGCAGATGATTCAGATGCATAATTAGCTTTAAAAAACAACTGCCTTATTCCCAAGCCACTCAAACTAAAGGCTGTTCCGTCTTGGAACACCCTTCTCTTTTTATGCTTATCTAACTGCTACTTGTTAAGATCTCCCAAGCTCAATCATAACTTTCCTTGAATCCCCATTCCCTCACCAGGCAGAATTAATTGCTTCTTCCTTAGCATTTTGTTCATACAAAAGAAACCCTCTCATTGATGTAGTCTGGACCCATAGCCTAGCAATAAACTGAAAAAGTCAATTAAACACTATAATGTGTACACTTTATAAAGTATATAATTCAAATTTATTTTCTGATAAAGTATCTATTCTAAAAGGGTAGAATGAAATTATAAACTTAACTTTATAAGGAACTTGATAGTATGTAAATTTTCTCTAAATCTGTTTTTTTTAAGTCAGTTTAACCAGAGAGTCATTATAAAATGTATTCTCTCAAAGTTATAGAAACAGAAGTCCCAAATCTAGGTGTTGTCAGGACCATATTCCCTTCAAAGTATCTTATTTTCCTTGCCTCTTCCAGTTTCTGGTGGCTCCAGGTGTTTGTTCCTTGGCCTGGAGCTGTGTGACTTGGGACTCTAGGTCTTCATACTCATATGGTCTTCTTAATGTATGTCTGATTTTCAAATCTTCCTCTACCTTTCTGCTATAAGGACACCTGTGTGGAAATAATGACCAACCATATGAGAACAAGCAAAGATTATTCAGAGTTTGCTATGGCAAGGGAGTAAGCCACTATCACTTGTGTGTTGGCAGAGTAGGAAAGCTTTAATAGTGGGAAAAAAAGGAAATCTTCAGGTATACCCTGATTGGAGGCTATGGGTATAGGAGAGCTGTAGGTAAGTTAACTAGAAATGGGACATCCTATGTGATTGGCTAAATGTGTACATTTTGGCTTTCTCTGACTGGTCCCAATTAGGGGAGCTGTTAGTTATTCATCAAATACTGGTCATCTGGAGCCAGTTGTTACAGGACTTACTGTTTGGCTTCTGGAATTGTTATTAGAGATAGTGGTGTAGCTTCCTACAAGTCTGACATAGATAGCAGAATGGCTTCCTAGTCTGATTACTGTAGATAGTCTGGCTCCCTGAATTTGTTGCTGCAGGTTGTCAGTAAAAGTGCTGTATTTATATATGGTCTGGCCACTGTTTGCCTAGACAGTCTCTTACCTGTCATTGGATTTAGGTGGGACCCTAAATTTAGGCACATTTAGGTCCACCCTAAATCCAGGATGATCTCATCTCAAGATACTTAATTACATCTGCAAAGACTATTTTTCCAAATAAGACCACATTCACAGGTTCTGGAGGGTAAGACATGCATATATTGGGGGTGGGGGTATACTGTTCAACCCACTATAAGCTCCTCATGGTTTTGAAATCATGCTTACTTATAGAGTAACAGAAGACCTTGCTTCCTACTGTTCTCAATGAAGCAAGCAGGTAGGTTATGACTGAATTTCATCAAAGGCTTATCATTTGAATTTGAAACAGTGGCCCAGCCATCCCTTAAAGCTTGGATTCAAGCTTCTGATCAGTCTCTGTATGTCTACACTTTACAAGGACACATTTGGTAGTCCAGTACTATCAGAGAAATTCAGAGAAATCTCATCTTTGATGGAAAGCTAAAAGCAATGTGGATAATGTATTAATGTTGCCTGTATTGTCTTTAATAGGAAGTTAAGGAATGGTACAAATCCTCTGGGTTTTTTGTTTTGTTTTGTTTTGTTTTGAGCAGTCTGAAACCTTAGTCACATTGCCTCGTCAAAAAAGAGGTAATGCCTAGTCCTACCAGATCCTAACACACAAGTAAATAATAGATGTGAATACATTTTTTATGATTCAGTTAATTAATTCATTTGGATGACTCTGACAATGTTATAACTTCTCTTGAAAACATATGTTTGAAAAGACATGTTGTTGTTGTTGTTGTTTTTTACCTGAAATGTGCGTTTTTACTCATTTGTAGTGTGTCACATTTTTCTCACTATTATCTTGTTGGAATTGAACCACTCAAATCTGATTTCATCATGTTTCTGACAAATCATAATTTAAAATTTGCTTGATACCAGGGAACTCTTTAATCTCATCTTTCCCCAGGCTAATTTTGTGGCTTTCTCAGTTAAATATCAGCTTTAGATATTAAACCCCCCTCCCACTTAGAAAACAATTTCACACAAGAAAAAAGTATCTGTTTTCTGATAAAGTATCTATTCTAAAAGGGTAGAATGAAATTATAAACTTAACTACTTTAACTGCCTAGCAGGTTCATATGACAGCTTTTTCCATTCAGAATGAAAAACAGTGCTTATGTGACATGGGTGCACATATACATTTGCCTCCTCTTTATTCTTCTAAGCTAAAAGCTCTCGAAGGTCCCAGAGTAGTTTGATAAACTTGCTTTATTTTGGTCATTAACTTGGAAGAGGTACCAGATGATGAGTTTCCAAAAACTTGAAACATGGCCCTTTCAAATTCTCCAAGGGTCACTTAGAGGGCCTTGCCTCTTCAATGCAAAAGAGACAATGCACAAATCATGATTATCCCAGTGCTTTAGTACATATTGAGTGCCTAATAAATGTAATTTGGATCCTAATAGTTTCAAATTACATCCTTCCTACTTGTTGGATGTGTGGCCTTTGGCTAATTTCTTAATTTCTCCAAGTCTTAAGTTTATTCATCTACAAAATATAAGTAAAAATAGTATTTAGCCTATAGGATTGCTCTGAGGGGAAATAAAGATAATTCATGTAAAAGCACTTAGAAAAATGCTAGCTACTTGCAAGTACTCAATAAATGTTGACTATAGTTATAAAAGAATGGTAGTTTAATATAGCATCTGCATTACACTGTTTACTGTAAAACTAATTATTTTAGTTGAAAGTATTTTTTCTAAATGATTATGTTTTATATGGAAATTGGACATTTACTATGGAATACTATAGATATTTTTTTAATCAGAGTCACTTAATTCATCTTTATATTCCTCACAATACCTTGCATATTATATGTACCTACATATGTGGCTTGAATGAAAGAGTAATTGATACTGTCTAGTCTAAACTCTGTTTTCATTAATTTAAGCAATTGTAATGCATTATCAGTAGATGGCAGTAGTTTATTTTCATTTTTATCTTTTGTCCATTCTACAATAGAGATCAAGAAAAAAATAAAACTCCCAATTTAATTTTTTTAAGATTGTATTTGTTTATTTGGGGGTGGGGTAGTGGCAGGAAGAGGGGCAAAGGGAGAGAGAGAAGTGAACTCCACCTCTGAGCAGGTAGCCTCACTTGGTACTTAATTCCACCCATGATCAGATCATGACCCAAGCCAAAGGCAGACAGTTAACTGACTGAGCCACCCAGGTGCCCCTCAAACTTTCCCAATTTTAAAGTAGATATCCTTTCACAATCAGTTGATTTAAATAAATGACACCCAAGGGTTTTTCAGTTTATGTTGCTTCAGATATAGAGATCAAGAAGTACCAGTTATGTTATTTTTTATTATGTAAATCTAATTTTCTTCATTTTTTACATTTCTCCACCAAATTCTTTAAGGAATACAGAAATGAATAAGACATAATATTTGTCTTCCTGGAGCTTACAGTCTATTGGAGAGATATAGTATATAATAATAGAAATAGTAAGAATAAAAACTGTTGAGTAGCAGGAATTTGCTAAATGCTGTCATGCATTATTTCATTTAGTCCTCCCAATGAGATAGGTATTACTATTGTTTCTGTTTTATAGGATAAGGACCTTGAGGCCCAGATTGGAAAGAATTTACCTAATGAACTAATAAGTGGTACAACTCAAGTTCAAAGCTAGTTCTATCTTACTCTATGACCTAAACTGTTATCATGGTATAATAGAGATATAGAAACAATTGCACTAAAGAGAGGGAAGGATCGTATCTACCAAGAAAGACTTCTTTTTTTTTTTAATATTTTATTTATTTATTTGACAGAGATCACAAGTAGGCAGAGAAGCAGGCAGAGAGAGAGGCGGGAGCAGGCTCCCCACCGAGCAGAGAGCCTGATGCGGGACACGATCCCAGGACCCTGGGATATGACCTGAGCCGAAGGCAGAGGCTTTAACCCACTGAGCCTCCCAGGTGCCCCAAGAAAGACTTCTTAAAGAAGATGCCATCTATGATGGAGTTGAAAGACCGGCTATGATGTTGATATGGTGGGAACAGTATTTTAGGAGCATAATTCTATCATTAGAACAAGGTAAACTGGAGTGGAGATAGACTACAAATAGACACCTATTAAGTAAGTGCCAGGCACTGTTCTAATCTCTACCCTTATGGAGCTTGCATTAGTAAAAGGAGATAAAAAAAAGAAACAAATCCATATAAAATATCAATGGTGACAAATGCTATTAAGAAAAATGAAGCAGTTGAGGAGAATACAGGCAGTGATCTCTTCGACCACAGCCGCAGCAACTTCTTCCTAGAAACATAGCCAAAGGCAAGGGAGGCAAGGGCCAAAATGAACTATTGCGACTTCATCAAGCTCAAAAGCTTTACACAGCAAAGGAAACAGTCAACAAAACCAAAAGACAACTGACAGAATGGGAGAAGATATTCACAAATGACATGTCAGATAAAGGGCTAGTATCCAAAATCTGTAACTCAACACCCAAAGAACAAATAATCCAATCACAAAATGAGCAGAAAACATGAACAGACATTTCTGCGAAGACGACATCCAGATGGCCAACAGACACATGGAAAAATGCTCACCATCACTTGGCATCAGGGAAATACAAATCAAACCACAATGAGATACCACCTCATACCAGTCAGAATGGCTTAAATTAACAAGTCAGGAAATGACATATGTTGGAGAGGATGCGGAGAAAGGGGAACTCTCCTACACTGTTTTTGGGAATGCGAGCTGGTGCAGCCACTCTGGAAAACAGCGTGGAGGTTCCTCAAAAAGTTGAAAATAGAGCTACCCTACAACCCAGCAATTGCACGACTGGGTATTTACCCTAAAGATACAAATGTAGTGATCCCAAAGGGGCATTTGCACCTGAATGTTTACAGAAGCACTGTCCACAATAGCCAAACTATGGAAAGAACCTAGATGTCCATCATCAGATGAATGTATAAAGAAGATGTGATATATATATACAATGGAATACTATGCAGCCATCAAAAGAAATGAAATCTTGCCAGTTGCAATGACATGGATGGAACTAGAGGGTATTATGCTGAGTGAAATAAGTCAATCAGAGAAAGACAATTATCATATGATCTCCTTGATATGAGGAATGTGAGAGGCAGAGTGGTGGGTCTGGGTGGTAGGGAAGGAAAAAATGAAACAAGATGGGATGGGGAGGGAGACAAACTATAAGAGACTCTTAATTCCACAAAACAAACTGAGGGTTGCTGTGGGGGAGGGGGATAGGGAGTGGGTGGTTGGGTTATGGACATTGGGGAGGGTATGTGATATGGTGAGTGCTGTGAAGTGTGTAAGCCTGGTGATTCACAGACCTGTACCCCTGGGGAAATAATACACTATATGTTAATAAAAATAATGAATAAAAAAAAGAAAAATGAGTCAGGATAATGAAATGGAAAATGAAGGAGGAGAGGTCATGTTTTAAAGAATGTTATGACGGAAGCCTCTCTAGTAATAGTATTTAAAAGTGGTAAGCAGTGAGTGGATTCTAATATAATTTAAAGGTAGAACCAATAAGTTTTACTAAAAGAATTGCATGCAGCATATAAGAGAGAAGGCAAGATTCTTGTTTTCAGGATCACCAGGATATATGACAGGAGAAAAAAAGAAAGAAAAGTGAAAAATTATCAATATTGATTATTTTATAGGCCTAAAGAAAGTGAACCAAAAAGAGAGAAAGAGACAGAGTAGAATGTCAGGCAACAAAGAAAGGAAGAGTCAAGGAGTTCCTGAAGAAGGTAATGAAGCAATCTTAAGAAATAAATTATTTTTTAAAAAAAGAAATAATTAAAGGATAAGCAGCAACAAAAAGGTAGTATGATAGGATAATTGTGTTAAAATGTATAGCCAAATACAATAGAAGGAAGCTATTAAATTTCTCCAGGAGGACACTTAGATGATATTTAGAAAAGGCATAACAACAGGCCTTTAATGAAAATTCATCAACTATAATTGCTGTATACTTATTATGGTAGCACTGTAATTACGCATATGTGTAAGTGGTCTGGATTAAAAAAAATGGAGACAATCAAAATATTTATACTGTTCCGTACAGGAACAGGTATAACATTATGGTAGGCTATTCTGCATTGTGTATTATTATGGCTTTTGATTTTGGTTTTGTTTATAGTCAGAAAGGGAATATTACCAATTCTAAATCTATTTTATTTATGAGACATACCACATTTTTCATGACTTTGAGTGAAGAAACAATAACTTTCTTAGAGTGTTTGCAACTTACAGTTTTATGTACTTTATTCTTTTGTCTAGCTCTGGCTAACCAAGGCACATCTACATTAACTGATGCTGTAGAGCAAGTTGCAAAGCAACAACAATCACAAACATCAGAAATAGAAAAAAACAAAAAAGTTCTGTTCCATTTGCAGGTAATCTACTTCATATAGTCTTTTAAATAAGTCAATACTGTCTTTAAAATGATATTGAATTAATAACAGGGAAGTTGGGAGGCTATTTGAAACTCCTGTTTTTCATGTTTACTCCTTCTTAATTATTCTATTACCCCAAAGTGAAGTCTATACAAGTATTTTACTTTCATGGAACATTTCACACACCCAATATACAAGGATTCAGCAATGTCCTTAGAACTGTAGTATGTACATATAAAGCCCAATGTATCACATAGAATTATTTTAAATTCACTTCTATTTCAGTTTTTCCTAAAACGTTAAATTGAAGAAAGGTTAAGTTTTTAAGCCAGTGTTTTTAAAGCCATGGCTATTAGTTGTCAGTGAACATTACAAGGTGATGAGAAACATTTTTGTGTTCCTTATATTCAAAATGTATTCATGATTCCACTGTGGGGAATTTGGAAGCCATACTTGTTTTTTGTATGCAGCACAATTAGATATAACTATACTCTTAATATAGCTAAAGAAAAATGGAAATGGTATATTTACTATGTGTTTTTTAAAGATTATTATTAAATATATTATGGAACTGAAAAATAGTCTCTAGAACCCAGCAGCCTAGTTTGAAAGGCAGAATTTGCTGCTTTTAGCTCCATTGTTTAATTTCTCTGTGCTTCTGTTTTTGTATTTGTAAAATAGAGATAATAGTACAACCTGCCTACAAGGTTTTCATGAGGATTAAATGAGTTAATATTTGTAAATATATGTACAGTATCCTGCTGGGGCCCTGGTAGACAGTATAGAGGTAGATTTTGATGTTGGTTTTAGGTATTAATGTATCAGCAGAGATATGATGATTAATAATTATACTACCATGGTAATATGGATCTCATAAATATTTACATTGCATAGTTACTTTTAGAAAAGAATACATTTTTTGCAAGAGAATATAATATAAAATAATAAGGTCTTAGCTCTTTATAAAGAAATTTTCTGTAAAATTTCTCACTCTCCAATGAGTTTCACAGGTGTTATTTCACTTATATCAATAGCCTACTTTTTATTAAGCATTTTGCCAAACATTGTCCTCACTCATCTATTGAAGAGGGAGACAAATAAATAAGTAATTATACGCAGGGTAGTAATGTCAATAGTGAAGGCATGAACACATTTAACGCTAAAGGAATGATCACAAAGTGACATTTATATTGAGTTTAAAAAAAGAAGACAGCTGGAGTTCACTTGACTATTGGCTATCTAGGACAGGTTTAAGGTTTGGGTGTGAAAAGGATGGTATTCTGGGCAAGAAGATCCTGAGAAAATTCACAGAAGCCTAAAAGAGCATTTGATACAGTCATAGAACTACAGTCGATTCTTGAATAATGTGGAGGTTAGGAGTGCTACCCTGAGCCAGTTAAATCAACATATAACTTTTCACTCACCCAAAATTTAACTACAATAGCCTACTATTGACTAGAAGACTTACCAATAGACATATTTTTAAGTTACATGTTTTATATACTATATTTTTACAATAATGTCAGCTAGAGAAAAAACAATATCATTAAGAAAATCACAAGGGGACACCTGGGTGGCTCAGTCGGTTAAACATCTGCCTTGAGCTCAGGTCATAATCCCAGGGTCCTGGAATCAAGCCTTGAGTTGCAAGTTGCACTGGGCTTCCTGCTCAGGGTGGAGTCAACTTCACCCTCTGCCTCTCCCCTTGGCTTGTTCTCTCTCGCGCTCGCTCACTCTGTCTTTCAAACAAATAAATAAAATCTTTTTTAAAAAAAATCACAAGGAAGAGAAAATACATTTATAGTACTGTACTTTTTAGATATATAAAATCTGCCTATAAATGGACCCATGCATGTGTTGCTCAAGGGTCAACTGTATATGTGGTTTGGTGGCAGTATAGTATAGGGTATGTTTTGAGAAGTAGTGGGAGATACATACTATGATAAGAAACTTGGACATTATATTAAAGATAATGGGAAGGTTTTGGCAGGATTTAAGCAAGAGAAAAAATTAGTACATTTATATTTAGAAAGAGAATTAAAGACGCATAAAAATACTTTTCATAATCCAACATCCATTCATGATAAAAACTAGCAAATTAGGAGTACAACTTCCATAATCTAAAAAAGGACATATACATCCCTTAATGAATCCTATAGCCAACTTATCTAATGGTGAAAAAGTGAATGTTTCTCTCCTAAGACCAGGAGCAAGGAAGGCAAGGATATGTGATCTTACCACTTCTGTTCTTTCTATGGTATTGGCGGTTCAAGCAAGTGCAATCATGAAAGAAAAATAAATAAATAAATAGTAAAAATAAATAAAAATAAATAATTTCATCCATATTGAAAGGAGGAAGTAAAACTTTTTATTAATAAAGTGTTAACACAAATTATAAAATTTTAATATTTTGAATTAGATGAACATTAAAAAGTAAGAAATATATAACTCTCGGCTCCCTCTAACATTATAAAATAATTTTGTTACTTACTGAATGGTTCCTTTTATTGTATATCAATTTTTCTATATCTGATAAATGTGTATTTTTATGTTGTGATTTTGCTACAGACATATGGATCAAAACAATAACATTCTTCTAATGTTGAATATCATGAATTAATAATAATAATATTTTTTTACAGAATGAACTCCATGAGCTTGAAAAGCAAATAGCATCTGTCTCTGCAGAAACTAAAGAAATAGAAAGGCAAATTTGTCAGCAAGATGCTGCCATAGAGAATGCCAAACTTCAGTGTGGGAACCTGGAAACTCAAATCAAATCCTTACATACAGAAAATGTAAAGCTTAAATTTGACATAGAAGCAGCCCAAGAAGACTTTGAGGAACACATGATAAGATATAATGAATACTACGCAAAAATAAAAGAGCATAAAGATGGTTTGGGTGAGGTAGAAAGCAAATGGTCATTCATGACTGTACTTCATGAAAAACGAGATCTTGTTAAAAAGCTAAAAAGAATGAAAGAGGAACTTATGCAAAATCTCCAAAATCCAGAAGGAAATCACATAAAACAAGTACAGGTTTGAAATATCCTTTATCAAAATTTTTTCTATTACTCTTTTTTTGCAAGTACTCTTACTTATTAAGCGAAACACTTATCATTAACTTAATAAAATGTCTATAACTGTCTTAACTAGATTCAGAAACTATTTTCACAACTTTTAAAAACAAATACATGAGTTATATAATAACTATATGAAATGTACAAATACATAAGGGAGTTTTTCTCAAATCCCCTGTGGATTAATAAAAATATATAGTCAAAAAATTTACAGTGAACAATTAATCCATTTGTTTCAGAAAGTGTGACTCACAAAAGTGTTGAAGTCCTCACTTCCTAGGCTAATGGATCTGACCAATTCAAATCAATTTCGTATGCTTAATGCTATTCTACAAACAATATCAATTAATAATAGTGCCTTAAGAATTTGTTTTACTTTTATACCATTTTTTGAAGACAATGGGAGATATAAACTTAAAATACCTGTCGTTTCTTGTTAGAGAATTTAAAAGATTCCTTTACACTGTTGCTGGGCAATTGCCACTATGACTACTACTTTTCTTACATCTTATTTCCATTTTGTTTTAATTTTAAGTTTTTATCCTTTTTACATTTAAATTCAATTTAATTAACATATACTGTATTATTAGTTACTGTTCCTGTGCAATGGCCAGTATGACTACCACTTTTTAAAATATTTACATTTAGTTTTAATTTTAAGTTTTTAAGTCAAAGGTTTATTTGTTTGAGTAACAGTTCTTTATTCTTTGTACCTATAAAAGTAATATTCTAATCCTTTTTACCAAAATTAAATGTGATGGCTAGTTTCTTTAAATTATAGAAATACTAAAAATGTTGGACTTATATTGACCATTCATTGTTTGACTTGTATATTTTAAACTTCTGTAAACATACAGGAAGACATTACAGAGTTAAAGGATAAAATTGTAACTGTAAAAGAATCTATCACTGAAAAAACTTGTTTTCTTGAAGAAGAGAAAAAGACACATGAAAAATTAAGAAAAGAAATAGAGGTAAGTCTTCATTATCTGATTTCAGTGTTTTATGGTATCATTTCTTAAGCTTGTACCATATTTATAATTTCCATAGTTTACTCTCAATTTCTAAAACAGCTAGAGGAAAAAAAAGAACTATAAAAAGTAGTAAAGTTCAAGTCATTAATAGAGATAACTCCCTCATTCAGATACTTATGTCTGTGAAATGTATTCAAACAAAGCAAGCACTCATTCCTATTAAAATGTGGCCTAAAATTACTATAGGTCTCATTCCACCAACACTTTTGTTCTCAATTAATGTCTAGAAAACAGATTATCAAGTCAAAAAGCATGACAATTACTAGAGAGCTATCAGAAATTCCTTAAGTTAGAGTAAGAGACAATGGAAGTCATTAGTATTCTAAACCTCTCTGACCTCATATTTTTTATTATTAAGAATCAAATAAAAAAACTGATATACAAAATTGAAAGCAAGATTAAATTTGGGGTACCACTAGTAGATTTCTATGGTCATTATTGTTTAAATGAATGGAGAGCAAAAATGGAAAATAATATGTTGTTGAGGGCAAATAAATAATTTTCACCCTTAGGATATTAATTTGAAAACTAAAAAGATGCATTTGCTTGTGGCTAATTTGCCACAATAATAAAACATCTAAGGAATTCAATGATTCAATCCTCATCCTGGGGCGCCTGGGTGGCTCAGTGTGTTAAGGCCTCTGCCTTCGGCTCAGGTCATTATCTCAGGGTCCTGGGATGGAGCCCCTCATCAGGCTCTCTGCTCAGCGGGAGCCTGCTTCCCCCTCTCTCTCTGCCTGCCTCTCTGCCTCCCTCTCTGCCTACTTGTGATCTCTCTGTCAAAAAAAAAAAAAAAAAAATCCTCATCCTTACAAAACATTTAAGAAACATCATTACTTTATCTTGCATTTTTCTAGTAATCTAAATAAATGGGGGTTTTTTGGCTTCTAGATCCATATTTATTATAAAATTATAAATAGTAAGACACTATCAATGCATCAAAATACAAATAAAATGATTAATGAAATAGAAAAAATAATACAGATATAATCTATCATAAATGGTACAAACAAAATAGGTCAGCCATATGGAGAAATAAAGCAAATTTAGAAATAAAATTGTATTTCTATCTTATAACACACACATATAACAATTTCCAGGAAGATTAAAGACAATATAGGAGACAAACTTACCCACTTGTGTCAGAGAAGTATTTCTTTTAAAAGACACACACACACTATGGAGTGTTATGCCTCCATCAGAAAGGATGAATACCCAACTTTTGTAGCAACATGGACGGGACTGGAAGAGATTATGCTGAGTGAAATAAGTCAAGCAGAGAGAGTCAATTATATGGTTTCACTTATTTGTGGAGCATAACAAATAGCATGGAGGACAAGGGGAGATGGAGAGGAGAAGGGAGTTGAGGGAAATTGGAAGGGGAGGTGAACCATGAGAGACTATGGACTCTGAAAAACAATCTGAGGGTTTTGAAGGGGTGGGGGGTGGGAGGTTGGGGGAACCAGGTGGTGGGTATTAGAGAGGGCACGGATTGCATTGGAGCACTGGGTGCAGTGCAAAAACAATGAATACTGTTACGCTGAAAAGAAATAAAAAATTAAAAAAAAATACAATGGGGTCCCATACTTAGTCCCTTAGATTATCAATATTATAGTTGGTAAGATGTGGAGCACTTGAATTTTAATATACTGTTGCTATTAATGTAAATTGGTCAAAAGCATTTTGGAAAGGAATTTGAGATTACCTATCAATTTCTTATTCTAATATTCTTTATTGTGGTATAACTATAAGAGTAAATACACAAATTGAAAGGTTTAGTTTGATTAATTTTGACTAAGATATATATTTACACCTATGTTACCATCACCTAGATCAAGATATAAAACTTGCCCATTCATGCTCAGGAAATCCTTTTGTGCCCCTTTCCTTAAGCTACCACTATTGTGATTTTTAAAAAAACTTTATTGAAATAAAATTTACCCATTGAAAGTGCATAATTCAATGATTTTTGGTATATTCATAGATCATTTGTAACCATTTCCTTAGTTAATTTTAGAAATTTTCATCACCTCAAAACATAAATTCCATACCCATTAGCTATGACCTCTCCATTTGTCTATATTTACCTGTATTTTTGCTCTATCATATTCTTCCTTCCTGATTCTCTAAAATCCCTTCTATCTTTTTCAATTCAACTCTTTTAGTATACTTCCAATTTAACTCTTTTAGGATAGGTCTGCTAGTGACAAAGTCTTTTAGTTTTTTACATTTGAGAAGGTCTTGATTTCCCCTTCACTCCTGAAGGATATTTTTTCTACATACAGAATTCTGAGTTTGGCAACTTATTTCCACAGTTGAAAAATGCTTATTTTGTGTTACTTCTTTCTGGCCTTATTTTGCATTACTTCTTTCTGTCCTCCATGATTTCTGATGAAAAACCCTCTGTCACTCAAATTGTTTTTCTCCCTATACATTTTTCAAAATGAAGTATGATTAATATACAGTGTTATATTCATTTCAGGTATACAATATTTTTTTAAAGATTTTATTTATTTATTTGACAGACAGAAATCACAAGTAGGCAGAGAGGCAGGCAGAGAGAGAGGAGGAGGAAACAGTCTCCCTGCTGAGCAGAGAGCCCGATGTGGAGCTCGATCCCAGGACCCTGGGATCATGACCTGAGCCAAAGGCAGAGGCTTTAACCCACTGAGCCACCCAGGCGCCCCAGGTATACAATATATTGATCTTATTCATTACTTAGTGCTCATCACAATAAGTATACTCTTAATTCCCTTAACCTATTATACCCATGTCCCCCACCACCACCTTCTCTCTGTCAACTACCAGTTTGTTCTCCCTATTGCAGAGTCTATTTTTTGGTTTATCTCTTTCTTTTGTTGTTGTTGTTTTTTTCAATTGTATGTATGCATGAGATCATATAGTATTTGTCTTTCTCTGACTTATTTCACTTAGCATTATACTGTCTAGATCCACCTATGTTGTTGCAAATGGCAGGATTTTATTCTTTTTCATGGCTCAGTAATATTCCATTGTGTATATAAACAACTTCTTTATTCATTCATCTATCAGTGGACACTTGGGTTGCTTCTATAATCTGGCTATTGTAAATAATGCTATAATAAAACATAGGGGTGCATTTATCCTTTTGAATTACTGTTTTCATATTCTTTGGGTAAATACCTAATAGTGGAATTACTGGATCATATGGTAGTTCTATTTTTATTTTTTTGAGGAAATTCCATACTATTTCCCACAGTATGGAGGAAACTCCATACTGTAATTTAGTTGTAATATATATACTATATATCCACAGTTTGTATTCCCATCAACAATGCATGAGGGCTCCTTTTTCTCCACATCCTCACCAACACTTGTTTCTGGTGTTTTGCTTTTAGCCATTCTGACAGGTATGAGGTGGTCTCTTATTGTGGTTTTGATTTGCATTTCCCTGATGATTAGTGATGTCCCCAGAAGGAACCAGCATCACTCCAAGGTGTTTGATTCTTGCTGCTTTCAAGACTTTCTCTGTCTTTAGTTTTCAGAAGTTTTTCTGTGATGTGTTTTGGCATGAATTTCTTTGGATTTATCCTATTTGGATACTTTTAGGTACTGGATTCTATAGGTTTATGTCTTTTGCCAAATTTGAGAATTTTCAGCTCTTATTTATTTGAATACTTTTTCAGCTCTGCCCCTTTTCTTTTTTCCTTCCAGAACTCTGATGACTCAAATGATCTTTTTTATAGTCCCACAGACCCCTGAGACTCTCTTATTTCATTTTTCTGTCTGTTCTCTCTGTTATTCAGATTGAGCAATTTCCAGTGTTTTGTCTTTCTTTCCCTGATTCTTTCCTCAATTCCCTTTATTCATTTTGGTATTGTATCTTTTCCATCTGGTTCTTTATATATTTTATTCTTGTGCTGAGACTTTCTGTATTTTTGTTTCAAGCATGCTCACTGAAGAATTTTTATGATAACTGCTTTAAAGTGCTTGTCAGATCATTCTGACTTCTGTGTTTTCTTTGTGTTGGCATAGGTTGATTATTTCATATTCAGTTGGATGAGTGTTTTACTAGAAATATGGACCTGTTGGCTATTATGTTTTAAGCCTCTGGTTCATTGTTAGTTCCAGGTGGTGAAGGAAGTTCATATTCTCCACTCTGTCTCCATTGATACCCATGGAACACAGAAGGGCTTCTTGATACTTGTAGCCTTAAGTGGGAGTTCTAGCTACCCACTAGGCCTCTACTGATAACCTTCTGGCTGGGAGGACAGGAACACTTCAGTTGTGCTCCTAATGCAGCCTTTATTGACAACATGTAAACATGGCCTTGTTACTACCAAGTGGTGGTGAAGGGCCTAACTCTCTAGTAGGCCTTCTCTGACATTACTCAGTAAGAAGAGGAGGATGCCTTTTTACCATCAGATAGAAGTCCAGGATCCCCAAATGGGTTTCACTGATACCAGAAGCGTGATTTGTTACTTTCTAGTGTAGATGAAAATCCCTGGCTTCCCAATTAGCATCCTCTGACACCATCCCAGCAGGGAGATTGAGGTACCATGTTATAGCCTAGCAATGGTGGAAGTATAGGCTTACCACTCGGTCTTTACTGGTGTGGGAGGTGGCAGATGCCTCATTTTTTGCAATGTTTGACTTAGTAGTTACTACTTAAAATGTTTCTGTCTTGCTAGGTAGCCCTGTTCCTGGTTCTTTGGCTAGAGAGTAGGTGTTTCTTAGAGTTTTATTTATTTTTTATTTTTCATTTTTTATTTTTTCTACATCTATTGACAATTCCAGGTTGCTGTCCTCTCTAGTATCCACTTTGGGATATTTGAGGCAAAATAAAAAGCCAGGGAACTCACCACCATATCTTTCCTTGGGTCCTGAGGTCACTAGTCAGTTTGCCTTCTTCTCTCCACCTTTTAGAAGCTTCTTATGTTTGTAGCCTTAATTTAGTTGTA